GTTGGATATCCCCTGTGTAGGAGTTGATGGCAAAGGCAGGGTTGGGGGTGGCAAGACGGTACAGGATGGAGGCATTGGCACCTGCGTCCCTGTCCTCTGCCCTCATGGTGGCCACAACCTGCTTGAGAGGTGTGTGACGGGACAGGTTGACAGTGAGTGGGCTGTGCAGGAAGGCAGGGGCATGGTCATTGACATCCTGCACTATGACCGTGATGCGCATGGCCGCGCTCTTGGGCTCCCATGGTGCTGAGTCCACAGCTTTGGCCAGGAAACTGTAGCTGGCATGGCGTTCCCGGTCCATGGCATGGGCACTCGTGATGCGCCCGCTCTGTGGCTCCACCTGGAACATACCCAATGACTCATTGCCCAGGTAGTAGGTGACTTGCCCGTTAGTGCCCTCGTCAGGATCCTGAGCCACCAGCTGCAACACCAGGGTGCCAACGGGAAGATCTTCTGGCACCTCCACTGTATAGGTGGCCTGAGCAAAACTAGGTGCGTTGTCATTTATGTCCAACACCCGCACACGCACAGACATGGTAGCACTGCGTGGAGGGGTGCCATGGTCTTGCACCACCACCGTGAGACTATATGAAGCAACTTGCTCCCGGTCAAGAGCACGTGCAGTGGAGAGGATGCCAGAGACAGGGTCTAGGCTGAAATCCTGCCCAGGGTCTCCATCTGGAAAGACAAGAGGGATAGCAAGAAAGCATGACTATGAGTTGGTGAAGGCAGAGGGAGAGACCTTCCCTATGCTGTCCAAGGAGGACAGCACAGAGCACATTCCAGCATGAGCTGGCACGGAAGGTCATGTGAACTGTTCCCTGTAAGACCCCACAATGATTAAATCTCCCTGGCCCAGAAGCAAGTGTAAGAATGGGTTCTATCAGCTCACAGGTCAGGACTGCCTCCTTAGGGAACCCTACAATATGGTATGACACAAGCAAAGAGACCGTGCTTTGCAGTCTGTAAATTCACCAGGCCAGAGTAGGCAAGATAGTAGTAGTCTGGAGCTAGTCTGCACTTGGGGAACCAGCCTGAGGCTGGAGCAGCCTGTGCGCATCTCGGGATGCTCTCTACTGGGGCAAAAGAACTACAGGTCTGAGAGGAGGCAGCAGCCACCTGTGGTCTGGAACAGGTAAGAAGAGAGGCAGAACACGGATTGTCACAGCTGATGCTTCCCAGAGCCGCTGGTGTCTCCAGGAGAACAGCCCTCACCTCAACCATGGACTAAGATGCAGAGCTCCCTGTATCCTTGTGCTTCTCACCTGCCACGCGGTACTCCAGGCGCCCGTTGTCACCTCCATCAGGATCAGTGGCCCTCAGGGTGTATAGTGCCACGCGACTCTGGTTCTCAGGAACCTCGAGGGAGCAGGACTCACTCTCCAGGTATGGTGCATGGTCATTCTCATCCCCTACTGTGATCCGCACAGTTGCCTTGGAGAAGTTGGGAGGCAGGCCGCCATCCCGGGCATAAACTGCAGGGACACAGCAAGAGTGCTACAGGAACCCACTAGCTGAGAGCTACTGCCACCAGCACATACTCAGACATCTGCAGGGGCAACCAGGCAGGGCATCATCAGCATTCCCATCTGCTGTGCCCACTCAGGCACTCCATAGCCTTGTCACCTCCCCTGTCCTGCTCCCCTGCACACTGCCCTGCCTCAGTGGTGGAGAGCGCTCATCTGCCTCCTCCACGCTTCTCACCCACCACCTCCTGCCACACGTCCCTCCCAGGCACCAGCACAGCCATACCTGTCACTACGTGCTGCTCCTGCTCCTCGCGGTCCAGCACTTGGGTGGTAACAATAAGCCCTGTCTGTGGGTGGATAGAGAACGGCCCTCCAGAGAGACCTCCGTAGGACACCTGCCCATTGGCACCTGTGGGGATGGGTACAGTTGAAGATAGCTCACCAACACCTTGGGAGCCTCCCATGGGGCTCTGAGCCCTGCGTCTGCCTCCTCCCAGACTCCCACCCAGAGTGGTGCACATCATGGAGAGGACGATCTCAACCCTCAGCAAAGTTAGGGGCAGAGATGTCCCTGCACCCAGCAGCGCGGGGGAAGGCCCCAACCCAGTACAGCTTTGGGAAGATGGGACAAAAAACTCCTGATAAAAGCAGCAGGAACAAAGGCCACTGCCTTGAGAAGCAGAGGGAATCACAGTCTTGTCCTGATTCTGCTTCCTCCAGGGATCGGCCCCTTCTCACCTCCTCCAGGCCTGCTGGGTGACTCCCCTCCATGGTCCCCAGGTTTGCGGGGCTGGGGAATGAGTAGCAGAGTGCACCCCGCATGGGTGTCCCAGCCACGCTGCTGGCTCACCCGCGCCCTGCATCCTCACCCAGGTCCTGGTCCGTGGCCAGCACCTGCAGCACAGGGCTGCCTGCTGGCAAGTTCTCCATGATGTGAGCCTCGTACTCAAGTCTCTCAAAAACAGGAGCCTCGTCGTTGACATCCAGGACACAGTGAGGTTGTGCTGCGCCACCTCCTCCCGGTTGAGAGCCCGCATGATGGAGAGTGCACCTGAGGACACAAGGAGAGGGGCGAGCTGGGACCACAGCCCAGGGCTCCGAGTGATCCCAGGACAGAAGCGCTGCAAGGCCGCAGGCACTGGGGTGAGCCCAGGTCAACCTTGTTTTGACGAAGATGGCAGGATCATGACAGCCAGGCGCCATGCTCAAGGCTCCCCATGCCCAACTGGTCTTACCTCTGTACAACCCTGTGTCCCCCAGCCACAGTCTCCTCCACTGCCCTGCATGTTCCTGCACCCTCCTTGGCTCCCACATTCCCAGTGTCTCTGCCACCCACCCTCCATTCCCAAGGATCCTCACCAGTGCTGGGATTCAGGTGGAAGCGGCCATCACTGTTGCCTGCTCGCAATGAGTAGCTCACACGCCCATTCTCTCCCAGATCATCATCCTGGGCCACCACATGCAGAGCCACAAAGCCCGTTGGCTGGTCCTCCACAACACTGACAGCAGCGGGTGAGAGGAACACAGGCGTGTTGTCATTCTCATCGGTCACAAACACACGGGCCGTCACAGCCGCTGAGCGGCGCTGACTGACATTGCGGGCCTGATCTGTGGCCTCCACCACCAGGAGGAAGGAGGCAGTGGCCTCGCGGTCGAGGCCCTGGTGCAGGGTCAGCAGCCCCGAGCGGCTGTCCAGCTGAAAGGGGGCCCCAGGGGGCTCCTGACGCAGCAGAGCATAGCGCACCTGGCTATTAGGACCCACTCCATCCCCATCCAGCGCCTGGAAGGTGAAGATGGATGATCCAGCCGGTGTGTTCTCAGGCACCACGATGGTGATGGGGTCTTCAGGGAATGTGGGCGTCTGGTCGTTGCAGTCCTGTACATGGATCTGTACCAGCACCAGCCGGCTGGAGGGATAGCCATGCTGCATGTCCTCAGCGCTCACCTGCAGTGTGTGCCGGGCCCTGACCTCATAGTCCAGCTCCCGGGCTGCAAAGATCTCCCCTGTCACACTGTTGACCACAAACGTGCCATCCCCACCACCTCCTACCACTGTGTATGTCAGCTGTCCCCGTGCAGGAGCATCTGGGGGAGCCACAGAGCCGATCACAGACCCGGGCTTGACCCCCTCAAGAGGGTGCAGGGTCAGCACGGTGGCATCAGGCCGAGGCAGCACCCGGGAAGATGGCAGCACCTGTGAGGAGAGAAAGTAGTGAGGGGTGCTGCATGGCAAGGGGACACAGGGCGAGACACAGAAGAAGGGGACACAGGGCCTAGAAAGAGCCGGTGTAGGAAGGCAAGGTCACAGGTCCTGCAATCTAATGGATGAGCAAGAACCTGAAAACACACTGAGAATAAGCAGAGGGTTGACAGGGTGAAAAAGCATCTTCACCTTGGTGACTGTGATGGGTAAGGACGGAGAGGGCACTGCTGCCTGGGTTAGAGCCTGCAAAGGAAGCCAACAGCAGCAGAAACTGCTCTGCAAAACCTAAGCAAAGGGCAAGCAGGGAGGAAAGGATTATCCAGATGGGAGACGCAGAGAAGACACACAGGTCACAATCACAGATTGGTGAGGTTGGAAGCGATCTCTGGAGATCAACCCCCTGATCATTCAGTATGACCCAAAGATAAATAAATACTATCACTATTTTTGTTAAAGATATTGAAGTTAAATCAGGGATGAGGGGCAGCTGCTGATAGGAGTGAGAATACACAAAAAGCAATAGTGTCATTTCAAGGGAAAAAGCACTGAGGGACTTGGTGAACCAGGCCAGGGAGACAGGAAAAGGAAACACAGCAAAACTGTCAGCCCAAAGGGGAATCAGACCACCAAGCAAGTAGCTATGTTACAGGGATACGAATGAGCACTTTGGGGACAACCAACCTGCCAGCCTGGCCTCGGTACCTCGAAGGCTGTAGAGCAATGTTGGAGACAAGAACAGTTACAGACATGACAGAAAGGAAACAGAACAAAACATCCTGCAGGATGCTAAAGGCAGGTGTGCCAGGATAACACAGGACTTTACAAACACAAAGGAAATGCGACACATCTAACTCGCCTGGCCTTTAGTTGAACTCTGATGCAGCAGCAAATGGAAGACCATCTATTAAACTGATGAGAGGAGTATATAGGAATTGCTATGTCATAAGAAAAAGGCTAAAAGACCACATGGCTCAAGGAAGGTTCTGAGCAGACCTCTAAGTTGAGAAGAGGTGACTTTTGGTATAGACATTTACTATTAGGAGGTGCAAAAACAAGAGCAAGCTGTGTACAGTATGAGCTTGCTAACGGTGTTAGAGGGCACTGCTGGGACAGAAAAGCAGCAGAACATTGAATTACACCTGCACAGCCTTGGGAACTGCAAGGGCAGGAAGATGTGAAACAGCATACCATGAAAGTGCATTGATCAGGGAGAAAATGGAGTCTCTGCTGTAAGATGAAACTCATCACTAAGAAACAAGAGAAGACTCAGTGTGCCCTGGGATAAAGGTCTGGGGGTGGAAAGGTAGGGAGGAAGACTGCCAAGTAGCTGAACAGTGCACAGGAAGGAGGGAAGCGGGGCACCTGAATGCGGACGATGGCTGAGGTACTGCACGGCACGGCGCCCCGGTCGCTGGCTGTCACAGTGAAGACATACTCAGCACGATCAGGTCGGCGGAGCACCGTGGCGGTACGCAGCTCTCCTGTTGCCATGTGCAATGTGAAACGCTCGGCCCAGGCTCCTGCAGAGAGAAGAAATGCTGCAGGGAGGTGCAGGGACAACAGAGGACAGGTCGCACAGGAGGAGGAAGCATGGTACAGCACAGTTTGTGCAGCAAATGCCCACACGCCCACAAGGGTCATAGCTGCAGGGCACAGAGTGGCACCACGCAGCCGCTTCAGCAGCTCATACCTGTCAGTGAGTAGATGATGGTCCCATTTTCACCCTCGTCTGGGTCCTTGGCCTGCAGGGAAGCTACTAGAAGTCCAGACGGCTTCTCTTCCAGCACCTGCAACACAGCATGGGCAGTGGATTAGTGGCACTGAGCATCTCCAGACCCACTGTGCGGGATCTCTGTGGCCCTATGGCAGCCCTGCACCTCGCCAGGGCACAGACCCACTCTGCCCAACCTCACGGCAAAGGAGCTCTGGTCTCGCAGTCTCCTTCCGCTGCACCAACTCAGGCAGCAGCAGTGAGCAGGGCAGTGGAAGGAGGACACTGCGTTGCACAGGTAGCACCCAAAGCCTCCTCTAACTATAACTAGGGGAAATGCAGGCTCCTGCATTCGCTCTACTGGTTCTCTCTACCGTGTCAGACCCCTTCAAGCATGAGCACAAATGTTTGTGCTGACACACACAGGGGTTAGATACCAGCAACACGGCCATTTCCTTGGTTCTCAGCATCGCCCCACTGGAGTCCTCTGCAACCTGCAAATGCAATGACAGCTCTTCTGGGCCTGGATTCCTTGACTCCTGGGGCTCTTCTCCTCACTCCTTTGCTCCCGGTTAGCATTGCTGGCTGTCTGTCTGCAGCCCAGTAAGACCAATGCTACATGCTAAAGCCTCGGGGTGCCATCAAGGTCTTAATTCTGCACGTGCACAATGAACCCTAGGCCTACAAGCTGCAGAGTCACCAGCTTGCTGGCAGAGACCTTGGCGTGCAGGCACTTTTCCTGGATATTTATGGAAACGGATGTAGCCCCACCACTGTCAGCACAGACTCCTCGCATGTATCCACCCCAACAAGAGCGCTGGGCACCCACATGGCCAAGCTCCTGCCATCCCTCTGCCAGCGCACAGTACCGCAGAGCTCACACACATCCTGCCACACACACCAGCCCCAAGGAGCCAGCAGTGCCAAGCACTTGCAGGGGGTGGCATTTTGACACACAGGGAAAAGACAAGCAAGGATGTGGGGAAAGAGCAGGCGAGTGTTAATGCTGCTGCATGAGCTGCTGGCACCAGCTCCGTGCTGGTGGTGCGCAGGAGAGGGGATCAGCAGAGCTGGGCTTGCTTAGCCAGGCTGAGCAGTGATGTGACTGCTCTCTGTAAACACTGGGAAGGGGAGGGAAATTCCAAGCAGGGAGAAGAGCTGTCTAAGCAAAAACACAATATTGGCATGAGAACAAATGAGTATGAAGTGGTCAGAAATTAGTTTAGGCTGGAAGTTAAGAGATGGTTCCTAACTACCAGATCAAGAAATCTGGAACAGCCTTCACAGCAACGATGGAGGCAGAGGGCCTTCTAAATATAGCTTGGCTGCTCTATGAGAACGAGTGTTTGCGTAGACACCTCCAGCTGGGGCCATACCTCCTAAGGGGCCTCTGAGCCCCTTTCAGCCCCTCTCCTATAAAAGGCTGGATAGAATCTGCCCTCCTCAGCCATCCCCAGTTGCTCCTGACAGGACACAAGAAGGTCCCGCTTTGCACGCATGGTCAGGCTCCTCTCCTATAAAGAATCAAGCTCCATCTCAGGAAAGTGGTGACCTCGTCCAGGTGTCAAACAAGTAGCATCCACATGGGCTTCGTGTGCAAATGTCACTTGAGGCACATGCGTGGCAGCAGAAGTGCTCTTGCCTCTGCAAAGCCCGCAGCTGGGTAAGACAGGCAGGCTTGTCCAGGGCAGGGGTCTGCCCTCCAAGAAGGCAGTGCAAACACCAGCTTTAACCAAAGATGAAAACACCATCCTGCCCAGTGCCATAGGTTTGGCAGTGGCTGGCAGTGGGTATATGGAAAAGACACAAAGAAATAGGACAAGCATGGAGTAATCCTCCTCTGAAACCTTCACAGCTTCCAGCAGTCTGTGGCTAAGTCACTTCCTGAGCCACAGATTATATTTTTGTCCAGCAGTCTTTGATGGATTTTTTTTTTCTTTCCATGAATTCATCTAATTTTGAACCCATACAACTTTTGGCAATGATTTCACAATTTAATTATGCTCTGCATGCAAAAGTACTGTCCTTGTTTATTTTAAACCTGCAGGCTGGTCATTTCCTATGGAGCGGCTTAGCTCTCGTACTGCAAGAAGAACAAGTCCTGTGACTTTCCCCGTGCCATTTACTGCACACCTCCACTGTATTCCTGCAATCTGCTCCACGTCAAAGAGCATTTGAATCATTTCTTCCTGCATGGAAACCATTACCTGCTGCAGATCATATTAACAACCATCCCTGAACCTTTCCTAGTGCTGCTGCCCATTTAGTGGAATGGAGGCAGGGCACAGAGGGTGTGCGGCATTTCAGATGGTGGGTAATAACATTCTCCTTCCCTCTCTGTCCCTCTTCTAATGATATTCATCTTTATATTTGCCTTTTTGACTGCTGCTGAGCCCTGAGCTAATTTTCCCTAAAATATTCTCAGCGATAGCCCCAACTTTCTCCTTAAACTTCAGGCGCCAGTTCAAAGCCCACCACTGTGTAAATGAAATTCAGATTGCTATTTGTCATGTAGATCACTTCCCAGCTATGAGTTTCATCTCCCAACTTCTTTACTAGTTAAATGGTAGCACAGGGTCCACCTGCAGTTCCCCACACGCAGCCCACATCTCTACCGCTTTGAATAGACCAGCATCACCAGCAAACCATCACCCTTTCTGGGGAATATATGAAAACGCTGAATAGCAAGGATACCAGCACTCATCCCAGGCACCCCACCAGCAACATTCTGCCTCTGCGAAAACAGACCGCTTATTGCTTCCCTTTTCTCCCTTTCCTTTTCCTAGCTATTAATCCTGGGGAGGATCTGTGCCTGCTGCAGCTCCTGTGCAAACACCGCCTGTTCCCGAGAGCACTTTGCCGATGTGTTCTGCAAGCTCCTGTCACAGCACTCAGCAAGAGAGACCCTCTCCTTCATGCATAAAGAAAAGAGCACAGAAGCTCCTCTCTGTTCTGTCTAATGAAGGTTGGTATGAATAATTCACTGAGCACTTTTGCGATAAATCACCGAGCTTTGCATTTATCATTTATTTTTTCCTTTTCCCTCTGAGCCTTTCTTTTACACCTAGATTATGATTAACACTGACTTATTCCTGGGCTTCAGCCTTCTCTGCCAGTGTTTCTAGCAGGAGCACTTCAAACCAAAGCGGCCAGATATTTGTTCCGCTTGGGCTGTTGCAGCATTTACTTGTCTTCATGATTAAATCCGGGCCAGCCTTGCCCTGTCTCCCTGAGGATGCACATGGACATGTGAGGCTGCACATGGTTTTGTAGTACCTTTATATGAGAAAGGACCTCCCTGTAGGTGAAACAGAATCACAGAATGATTAAGGTTGGAAGGGACCTCTAGAGATCATCCAGTCCAACACTCTCCTCAAGCAGGGACACCTGGAGTACGTGGCACAGGGTGGCATCCAGGCAGGTTTTGAAGATCTCCAAACAAGACTCCACAACCTCTCTGGACAGCCTGTTCCAGGGCTCTGCCACCCTCACAGTAAAGAAGTTCTTCCTTATATGTAATAAACTTCCTGTGTTTCATTTCATCCATTATCCCTTGTTCTGTCACAGGCCACCACCGAGAAGAGTTTGGCTCCATCCTCTTTACATTCTCCCCTCAGGTATTTGTACACACTAATAAAACCCCCTCTCCATCTTCTCTTCTCCAGGTTAAGCAGGCCTAACTCGCTTAGTCTTTTCTCATACAATAGATACACGAGTCAATCATATTTGTCGCTCTGCTCTGGACTCCATCTAGAAGTTCTACACCCTTCTTGTGGGAACTGGGGAGCCCAGAGCTGCACTCAATAGTCCAGGAGCGGCCTCACCAGAGCTGAGCAGAGGGGCAGGATCACCTCCCTTGATCTGCTGGCAACACTTTCTAACACAGGCCGGGATCCCATTGGCCTTTTTGGCCAGGAGGGCACACTGCTGACTCATGGTTAACTTGTTGTCAACCAGGACTCCCAAATCCCTCTCCACGGAGTTGCTTTCCAGCAAATCAACCCCTAACCTGTACTGGTGCCTGGGGCAGGACCCTGCACTTGTCCTTGTTGAACCTCATGAAGTTCCTTTCTGCCTAATTCTCCAACCTGTCTAAGTCCCTCTGAATGGCACCACAGCCCTCTGGGGTCCCATTGCCCCATTTATTACAACCCTCTGAGCTCTGCCATCCAGCCAGTTCTCAATCCACTCCAATGTCACTCATCTAATCCACACTTCCTGAGCTTCCCCATAAGCATGTTGTGGGAGGCAGTGTCGAAAGCCTTGCTGAAGTCAAGGTAGATAACATCCACGGCTCTCCCGTCGTCCATCTAGCACGTCATCCCCCTGAAGAAGGCTATCAGGTTGGTCAAACATGACTTTCCCTTGGTGAATCCATGCTGGCTACTCTTGATCACATTCTTTTCCTTGACATGCCTAGAGATGGTCTCTAGGATGAGCTGCTCCATCACCTTTCCAGGGATGGAGGTCAGGCTGACTCATCTGTAGTTTCCCAGGTCCTCCCTCTTGCCCTTTTTGAAGACTGGAGTGACATTGGTTTCTTCCAGTCCTCCGGCACCTCCCCTGCTCTCTCCATGACCTCTTGAAGATGATGGAGAGTGGCTTAGTAATAAGACCCACCAGTTCCCTTAGCACCCACAGGTGCATCCCCTCTTGGCCCACAGATTTATGGGTGTCCACATCTGTAGTTTCCCAGGTCCTCCCTCTTGCCCTTTTTGAAGACTGGAGTGACATTGGTTTCTTCCAGTCCTCCGGCACCTCCCCTGCTCTCTCCATGACCTCTTGAAGATGATGGAGAGTGGCTTAGTAATAAGACCCACCAGTTCCCTTAGCACCCACAGGTGCATCCCCTCTTGGCCCACAGATTTATGGGTGTCCAGTTTGCCTAAATAATCTCTAACCCAATCCTCCTCAATCAGTGGAATGTATTCCTCTCTCTCGTGTTTGAGCTCTGTAGTTCATGGGAATTAGCATTAGCAGTAAGCAGTAAAGACAGAAGCAAAGAAGGCATTGAGTAACTCTGCCTTCTCTGCATCCTCCCCATTCAGCAGCGGGTCCACATTTTCCCTAGTCTTCCTCTTGCTGCTGATATATTTATAGAAGCCCTTCCTGCTGTTCCCAACATCTCTCGCTAACTCTAATTCCAAATGGGCCTTCCTTGTTGCATCCCTGCATTCCTTGACAATGTTCCTATATTGTTCCCATGTGGTCTGACCCTTCTTCCACAATGTATATGCTCTCTTTTTCTGTTTAAGTTTTACCAAAAGCTCCCTGCCCATTCACACAGTTCTCCTTCCCTCCTTGCTCAACTTCTTTCTTGTAGGAATGCACCAATCCTGAGCTTGGAGAAAGTGGCATTTGAATATTAGCCAACTCTTCTGGACCCTCTTTGGAGGTCCCTGAAGAGGTCACGACTGAAGCAAAGAAGGCATTCAGTAACCCATCCCAGCAAGGGAGCACCCCAGTGCATCCCAGTACCTCAGGAGACCATCGCAGAGCCTGCTGCGCAGGTGCACTGCATGTGTCCCTGAGGATATGCTGCAGTTATCCCATCTGAGTGGTGGCATTCCACACAGGCTGTTCATGTGACAAGTCCCCAGCCTGTTATCCCTAGGGATCACAAGAACAGGCCTCCTCTACCCACCTAGCTCCCTTGCTGGTACCCTGCCAGTGCTGCTTGTAGCTCTGGAGAGCCCTCACCCAGTGCTGCTGCAGAGGGGCAGAGAGGGTGCCAGCAACAGGGAGGCAGGGGTAGCTCCCTTGCATCGAGCAGCACAGATGTAAGCAAGACTGCAGCACACCGTGCCTGTGTGACTGCTGCCACCAGTGCCCAGAGGAAAGGTGGGATGGCGCCCATAGTATATACTGGGCTCTCTCAGAAAACCTCTGCAAGCGCAATGCTTAGCTGGGCAGCCCTTCCCTGACCACTCACAAAGCCAAGTGGCTAATCTGAAAGCCTGGAGATACAGGAGACAAGAGCACCTCATGCCTCCCTGCTTGCCCCTGTTCACTGTGGCTCCACTGGGTTGGGTCTGGGCTCCTTCCACCTTCCCTCCTTGCAGACACATGTGAGTCAACTACTCCTCCCTGTAAGTCACTCCTACCAGTGCTCACACTCTCCATGCATAGGGGTGTCCCAAAGGCATGTCCCTTTTACCACTTCTTCCTCACATTTGCCAGACTGTCCAGGCTTCTGCACGGATGCAACTTGTGTTTGCTTCATCCCCGCCCCAAAACTCCCCTGGGACATCCTTCTGACTTTTCCTCCTGCAGCATCCCCAGCCCCTTGGGCTCCCAGGCCCATGTCTCCCTGGCCTATGGCACAGGAAAGGCACATGCGCTCCCTACCTGCACCGGCAGCTCCTGACCACTGGCCACATGAATGAACATAGGGGCATTGTCATTCTCATCCAGCACCGTGACATAGATGGTTCCGGTGGCACTGCGGGGTGGTGCGCCCCCATCCTGCACGATCACCAACAGCTGGTAGCCAGACTGCTGCTCCCGGTCCAGGCTGTGTTTCGTGCTGAGTTCTCCTGTGAGGGAGAAGGGACAAGATCAGCCCAGAGACCTCTTCAGAAATGGGTCTGGGGACACATTGCTGGGGAACCCAGGAGTAGGATATTGGCAGACAAATATCCTGCCAGCCTGGACTGTATCACTTTGGACCTGCCCTGGGCCTCCCCTAGGAAGCCAGCAGCCTCTCACCTGTCTGCGTATGGATAAGGAAGTTGGGGTCATGCTGGAGCAGGCGGTAGGTGAGCCGACTGTTCTGTCCGGCATCCCGGTCACTTGCCATCACCCTGCCAACACTGCTACCAGGTGCCTGGTTCTCAGGGATGGTGAAGAAGTAGCGTTCCTCGCTCAGCCGGGGGCTGTTGTCATTCTCATCAGTGACGCTGATCCGTACCGTGCTGGTGCCTGTTTTCCGGGCTTCCCCGCTTGCACTACTTCCTCCTGCCGAGGCCAGCACCGTGAGCACATACAGGTCCCGCATCTCCCGGTCCAACGCGCTTTTGACATAGAGCCAACCGCTCTCGGGCATGATGCCAAAGCTGGCAGCATCCCCATCAGCGCGCAAGTGGTAGATCAGGGTCGTGGCTTCCACATCGCGCGCTAGGGCCCGCACCTGCAGGAAGCGCGTGGAGACAGGCACCCCCTCCCGCACCTCCACGCGGTAGGTGAGTGTGTCAAAGATGGGCCCGTTGTCGTGTTCGGCCTGCACGTGCACCAGCAGAGTGAAGGTGGAGCTGAGCTGGGGAACACCACCATCCCGGGCCACAATGGCCAGCCCATAGGCAGCACTGGCTTCATACTGCAGGGCCCCCATCAGTCGCACTGCCCCTGAGGAGCGCTCCACGCTGAAGATGCCATCTCCTCCTGAAACCAGCTCAAAATGCACCTGACCATTGGCACCGCTGTCCCGGTCCTCGGCTTGCAAAGTGTACACCGTGCTCCCAGGCTCTGTGGCCTCTGGCAGCAAGATAGAGTCAGAGGGGGCTGGAAACACTGGCGCATTGTCATTCACGTCCGACACAGAAATTTTCACATGTGTATTGCTATAGGCAGGGGGTGAACCACTCCGGGCCTGGATATCCAGGATGAGGACAGCCTGGGTCTCATGATCAAGAGGCAGACTAGTGCGGAGTTGCCCTGAGCCAGAGTCAATGGAAAAATAGCCATGAGGATCCCCCGAAGAGATGGAATAAAAGATGTCATCAGCATGACCTGTGGGCAAAGAAACAAAGACAAAAAAGAGCAATTTGTGTACCCAGCTCACCTCCTCAGTTTACTACAGACAGCGTCAAGGCTGGGCAGTGCCACCTGTGCTGCCCTTGCCACTGTCCTTTACAGTCCCCGATAAGTATATACCTGGAGGGTTCTGGGCCTGAACAGCTCCCACGCTGGCACCTGGCAGCATGTCCTCAGGCACTGTGAAGAAGTACTGAGCTTGTTCGAAGACAGGAGGTGAGACTGTGCCCTCCACAATGCTGATGTTCACTCGGGCATTCGTCTGTGCCTGCAGGCCTCCACCATCTCGTGCAGAGATCACTAGTTGCACCAGCGTGTTGGCTTTGCCACTCAAGGACCATGAGAGGGAGATGACACCTAGGGAGGAAAGCAGCTCAGAAGGGTGCTATGCTGCACCCATCGCCTGTCATCTTCCACCCATGGAACAGGCCCTTTGCCTTGTGAAAGCGTAGGCCTGAAAAAAAAAGACCTAAAGGAGCAGCAAATAGGGAGGAATTTACCATAGGAGAGCTGGCACAAAGAAAGAGAACCCACCTGTGAAAAACTCCTCTAACCCTCCCTCCTCTCCCTGAAGCCAAACCCTGAGCTAAGTCGCAGCAAGATCTTGGCGGGACAAGCCAGAGGGCAGCTCTTGGGAGAGGAAAAGGAGGGAATGGAAATTCTGGGGCTGCAGGGCAGGGGTTGGGGCAGCAGCAACTGGTGTGATCTGGGCTGCAGGGAAACTCCTGGAGGGAGGGTAGTACAGAAGGACCTAATGGGACAAACCTACGAAGGAGGTGGCCCTGCACTAGGTTGACTCACAGGCCTTTGCTATCCCAGCCTCACTTTAGGGACTCGTGGACCAGTGTGGGGAGGGCCTGACATCTGTGCTGAGCACAGGCCACCCTCCCCGGCCTGCTGAGAGCCCTATCGCTGCATGCAAGCACGGACTCATCCAGCAGCACCATTCTGGCTTTGGTAGAACAGGGGAAGCCAGGCAGAAAGGTGAGACCAAGGAGGACGGCGCATTGGTGAAGGAGAGAGCACCAAGCAGGGGAGAATAGGGAACTGGACAGGGAGAAGGAGCCAAGGAGGGGACAGCCAGATGGTGCAAAGCCAGCAGCAAGCAGGGAGAGAAGTGCAGGGAGCCAGGGACAGAAAACAAGGGAAGAGATGGCAGAGGGGACAAACAAACGAGACAGGAAGCAGAAACAAGAAAGCAGAGAGCAAGCCTGTAAAAGGGCATGCAGGGACTAAGGAAGCTGGGGCACGGCAACATGTCAGGAGAGGACAAGACATCCTGTGGGGGCAGCCCTCACAGCAGGGGTGGCCATGCATAGCACTCGGACAGGCTTTACTCCTGCCCGCATCCCGCTGCCCTGGCTACCCAGGAGCTCTCACCTGTGTCTTTGTTAAGGGAGAAGAGCGGAGGGGTGTTACCCTGGACAATGCGGTAGGTCACTTTCCCATGCAGCCCCTCATCCTTATCATGAGCGGTGACACGCAGCACAGCAGTGCCTGGCATGCTCTGCGTGCTGATGCTGACCGCATAGTCCAAGGGGTAAAACACTGGCTGGTTGTCATTCACATCCTCCAGAAAAACCTTCACGTACACCATGGAGTTCAGGCCGCCCTGGGAAAGGACCAGATTAGACAAGATAGTTGCACCCCTGACATGGTGCTGAGTCGACAGCACCGCATCCTCGTGACCTCTCCTGCACTCACCCCGTCAACAGCGGTAATGGTGAAGTCGTAGGCAGATGTGCCCTCATCACGGTCCAGGGGCTGCACAGTACACAGCTGCCCCGTGCTCTCATCGATGCTGAACTGCGTGGGGACAATGCTGCCAATGCCAGAGCCGATGGAGTAGGATAAGGTGCCAAACGGGCCGCTGTCCGCATCTGTGGCTGTCACCTGGGTGGGAGGAGGCACTACGTTAGCAGGGCCAGCAACACCTCCATAGCATCTGGATGGAGACCACTAGCCTGTAGAACTGGACCACCATCCCCTTCACAGCCCCGTGCTGCCCCCTGTTCTTGGGCCCTCAGAGCACCCAGCACACAGACCAGGACATCCTCACCTCTGCAGTCATTGTTCCAAATAAATCACTCCTTCCTCTGCAACTCTCCCCATGGGAAGACAAGGCCTCCCAGGGCTCCAGGCAGCCATGGGGCATCCCCCAGAGCAAGGTCTGCTGGTCCAGGAGCGGGCACAGAGCCGGGCGAGCACAGCACTGCAGACTCACAAGAGCCATGCCCTGCTTGCTACCCCCACCACCACAGATGCCTGCATCACCAGAGGTTCCTTGGTCCAGGTGACACCTCCCCTCCTGCATCCCGGGGCAGCATCCACATCCCAGGCCCACGGTGTTGCCCCAGCAAAGGGTCAGCCAAGGGCAGCCCATGCGGGCTCAGCAGCTGCCCTTGGCCTCAGCCCTTTCTCTCCCACAAGGACTTCTAGGACAAGGGTAGCAAAACCTCCTCCTTCCTCTCCATAATCCAGCTCGGTCCCACTCTCCAAGCTAAACTCCATGAGCTGGGACCTGAAGATGACAACAAGGGTAGTCCTGTCTGTGACAGCCACACGAGTGGCACTAGCTGCTGTAGACACGGCAGAAGGATCTGAAGTGCTCCTTGCAGCTCAGGCCAGCAGCAAACGGCTCCTTCTCTGCACTCTAGCATCCCTGCCATGGCTCGTCCACCAGCTGGGAGCTCCAAGAGAGAACAAAGCTTGAGGACAGAGCCAGGAAGGAGGCAGCTGGGCCAGGCCCGGGTGAAGCGGAGTTCAGGCCTCGTCAGCCACAGCTCCTCCCCGCAGCAGCGCAGGGGCCTCGGCTCCTGTGAGCGAGAGCGCAGGAACGCTGCACGCGCGCCAAGGAAAGGGCCCAGCTGGGGGCTGCAAACAGTTTTCCTGTGGGCCGTCCCCCCAGCTTGAACCCTGCACAGATCCTCAGAGACAGGGGAGCAGCAAAAGACAGCTCAGAGTGTGGCTGGGCCGGCAGAAGTAGATCAGGTCCAGGTGAGGCCTCCTCCCCACCAGACTTTCCTACACACTGCACCCTGGCCGGGAGGCGCTACCTGCGCTGGCCCCCTTCACGCTCCTCCCTGAACTCCCCGTCCCCATAAAGAGGAAGCAGCACCCGCAGCTCCTCCTCAGCAGCCCCACTGCCCACGGCACCCCTGCAAGGCAATGCAAGGAGGGAGATCCTGGGAGAAGCCGCCAGCCAGCACTGCATTCCCTCTACAAGGACTTCCTCCCCGTCGAGGACTTGCTCCGTGACTGCACAGCAGCTGCTGGAAGAAGCACCGTGAAACAGGATCCCCTTTTCCTGCTCCAGCTGCAGAGCACTCAGAGCCACAGGTGCCACGAGAGCGACCCAAACATGAGTGAGTGCCACAGAGCACTTGAGAAACAGGCTCCACCTGCCCCCCTTCTGCTTCCAGCCCCCTCCCTCCTGCTCCCTGTCTCTCGGTGCATCCTTCTTCCTTCCATACCAGCTCTGAGGAACGGCCTATATGCACCAGGAGCCCCCAGGCCGAGGCAGCAGGGCTCAAAGGGGCACACCAGGCCACGGCAGTGCCTGGCCTGGGTGAGTGCAGCACGGCGATGTACACGTACCTGGCACAAGCAGGGCATAGCATGCAGGCCTCAGCCTGGCTGGACTACGACAGAGCTGCACGGTTCAAACCAGAAAATCCCATCACAGGCCCCATTATCATGTTGCTGCTGTCAGCAAAGCAACAGGAGGGCAGAAAGTGAGGGATCTGATGATAAGGACCCATGGCAGCTGGAGATGTTCATTTGAGAGAATAAATCTGACCTTGCTGGCACTACTGAAACAAGGGGGAAAAAGAAAGTAGCTGGAATTGAAATAATCTCTTGCAACCAATTTGGCAAGGGAAGAGGCCATGAGAAAGTGGCATTATCTGCTTCTGGATGTGATAAATTACCTCATAAGCTGCTTCCAGCTTCATTTGCCCCTTCTTAAAAATTTGCCTCTTATTTCTAGCTTGCATTTTGCCTGACTTCAGTGACTGTCTACAGATCCCTCCTGTCTTTGTCAGATTTAAGGGGTTGGTATTTCTAGGAGCCTCCTCCCTGTTGCTGTTGGGATGGTGGTGATGGGTGCTGCAAGCCATTCTTCAGAGAAACTAAACAAAGAGGTTGCATTGTTCAGTTTCCTAAGAGGACAAGTTTCTAGACTTGAAATTATTCTTATAATTATTCTTATACTTCTCTTCTGACTCCTGAACACCAAATGGAGACGTGGCCTCTTTGGAGGTGACAGAAGAGGTCTGGTTACCTGTATTCTGGCTCTATGTTGGATATCATCCTGAGGTGATACACTTAAAGCACTACAGCTGAATTGTGTGCTGCTTATTGTGCCAGAGTTTTAACTAGTAATGTTCACAGGCATTACAGATGGAAATGCTCCTGAAGCTGTTGAGCTGCCACAGCAGCCAAAATAGGCAAATTAATAACCCCTTCCAAATGAGCTGCTTATCAGTCTCAAAGTGTTCTAAAATGCACGTCAGCTGCTTTAATGCTATGCATAGCATCAAGCTCTTGAATAAGACATTTTCCTTTCACTCCCCTGGCCAAAGGCTCTGCTGTTCCCAGAGCAGCTCAGATGCCTCACTCCATCCTCTGGGGCTACTGTGCTAAGAAAGGTACCCACTGGAAATCCAGCTGTCTGCCACAGGAGCTAGATCAGGCTTGGGAATGGGAAAGAAGCAGATGAGCTCTCTTTGACGAGCAGTAAAACATCATCTCCCCATCTACTTGCCAGCACCCAGAGCCTCTCCAAGCAGGACTGCCCAATGGAGCTGGCAGTCTGGCCTCAGAGACAGATCTAATTGCAGGAGCGGGCAAGGCTCGTGAAGCTCCTCCACCCACACTCGCCTGGCATGCAGTTCCCCAGCCAGCTAGCCCGCTCCCTTGTGAAGCAGGGAGAGCCCTGGACCTAATTGCTGCAAAGCTGAAATTGCCCATCAAGAATGACATCAAATCTATGATTTTAAAAATGCACTTGTCTGCAGCCATGCTGCAGTTGTGGATAGTACACAAAGTATTATTTCAGTTATTCTTACTCCATGCCTTGCCCTCTCATTCTGTATCTGCAGAACCTTCCTGGGACAACCCAGACTGCTTGCAGCCTTGCACAGAGCCCACTCAGCCAAGGGGTATACTAATGTCCCCCAGCACCGCACACCCTCCTGACCATGGCCACGTCCAGGCCCCAGCCCTTCTCCCACGTCCCACAGCAAACCTTCCCTTGTGCCCCACAGAGGCCCACTCAGGAAGGTAATAAGGAAAGAGTAGCAGGCCCTGGAATTGAAGCCAGCAGACTTCAGCCAAGGAACTTGCCAGGGAACTGGCAAGTGAGGTCTTATGGAAGGCAGCTCTGAAGGTCAAAGAAGCTCAGGAAAACTGGCAGACCTTCCAGACAGCATCCTCCAAGGACCAGTGAGTCAATCTCGGAACTCAAGTAAACAAGCAGATGTATCAGGAGACCACTTTGGCTAAACAGGGGTCTTATGGCTGAGCCTCAAGGCAAGATGGCAGCATGCAGGAGATGGAAGCAGAGAGGATCTACAACGGATTAATTTAGAAACATTGTCCAGACATACAGGCAAGGTGTCAGGAAAGTCAAAGTGAGGCTGAGACTTGCAAGGAAAAAACATCAAGAGCAATCAGAAGAGCTTCTGCCACTGCACTGTTAGTAAAAGGCTAAATAAGAAAAATGTGAGCCCTTTGCTGAAAGGGATGGCTGACTTAGCACCAGCAGACACAGGTAAGGCTGAGACACTCAAGGCCTTCTTTGCCTCAGCCTTCACCAAGACCTCCCAGGCCCCTGTGCTTAGGGAAGGAGTTCAAGGACTAGCACTACTGGCTGGGGATGATGACTGAGCCAGATATTACTTGAGAAAACTTAACACATATTAGTCCACAGGACTCAACAGATGCGCCCATGGGTGCTGACTCTACCAAACTTCTAGGGCTACTCTTTAAAGGGTTGTGGAGATCAGGGGAGATCCCTGACAGCAAGACAGTAGTCGTTACACTCCACACGAAGACCTCAAGCAGCCTGCCAATGCCCACATGGAGGTTATGGGGGAGACAGAGCCAGGTTCTTCACAGTGGTGCATGGCAGCAGGACGAGACATCGGCTATAGGAACCAGAGAGGTTCAGACAGGATACTGGGAAAAGTTTTCTCCATTTAGGAGCAGGCCAACATTAAAGCAGGTTGCCCACAGAGACTGCCAAGCTTCCATCCTTGGCGGTTTTCACAACACAACTGAATAGTCGTGAGCTATTATCTACTGTAAAGGCTGTACAGAGCTTTATGCTGATATTCTACAGCCACTGTTTGGTTCCTTATCCAATGTTCACCATAATCTTGTGCTATATAGTTCCTCATCTAGAACAGGGTAAGGTCCCTGTCCTAGGCCTCACAACTAGTTCTGCAGCCCTCTCACTGCAGGTTTAACAAGGATTCTGTGACTGTTACTGGAACTCTCCCAAATGCCTTCCATTTGCCCAGCCCCCATAGGCACAGAGGAGGACCCCACAGCTTCAAATGAGAAACTGTGGACTGGTCTGTATGTAACTGCAAGGAGAGCTGGGCAGCATCTCTTGCTGTGACAGGCTGGATTTTCCTGCATTGAGTCCTGGGCTGCAGGGAAGGGGCTGTAGAACTAGTTGGGTTTTCCTCATATATTCATGCCTACAAGAGAGAAAGAGCCTTACATAAAACCAAAGGCAGACGGCACCATTGCCCCTCAAAGAGTATACTCCTCCATAGGGGCCAGCAATTGTCCCCACTTCTGTCCATACACATTCCCTGTGGGGAACAGTAACAGGCAGTGACAACCAAGAGGTCCTTACAGCAAAATCTATGTCTCGCAGACAC